TAGATTCCATTTCTATGTTTCCATGGTCAATCATCTGACTTATTATCAGGATTTGGGTTAGTTGGAAGCCATGAAATGCAAAAATTAACATATATTTGAATCTGACAAGCATGGTTTGGTTGTGGCTGTTGGTTATTAGGTTATATTAGGCTTTTGTACTGTATCTTAGGCGGCAAGTCTCTTGCATGCTTGGACAAGGGTTGAGTTTAAATCCTACATTGTTGTGTAAATATAGTCTGCACAAGGATTTGAGATCAATAAGTGGTTCCAAATGTGGTTAGTGGAAAAAGCTCCGGTTCATGAGAGTTTTGGATTAGAATAATAGGTACATTTATTTCTCGGTAGCGAGCAGATTATTCCAACAAACTTTTATGTGTAAAGGCATCAACATTTTTGCCTTTTGCACTGTGGACATAAAATACTCACTACAGTATGTTTATTTTCATTCTATTTAATTTGTACTGTATAAAAATTTATGAGTGGTTTTATAAATTTCTTATAAATGTTATTTTCGTTTCTTTATTCTCCTAATATATGTTGATTTAATAGTCTTTTATGATTTATTTCTAGTCAATTGACTTCTGCTCTTCTTCTTAAACCTTATTTCAAAAGAAAAATTAATCACCGTAGATGCCACAGATTGTAAATTTAATGACTTCTTCAATTTTCTAAAAATCTAATCGTACAAATATGTTAATATATATATATATATATATATAAAAGTTCAGAAAAATAAATATATATAACACACAGATAGATATCTAGTAGTATGTAATAATGGACATAAACTTTTACAAATAAGAGTTTCGACTCTATCTCACTGTAAACAGAGTTTCGACATCTATTCAACGTTACACTTGCACACTTGACACTTTCAAAATTTCACATCTAGAATCAGACAGTTCTTGACCAAAAAAAAAGACGCCGCGAAGAAGAAGGTGAAGAAATTGACAATGGCATGGGTGAAGCTCATCGGCGAATCACTGAGTGCCTAAAACCGCTTCTGCGACTCTGTTTCGTACCAAGACTCTTCTACACTCTGTCGTCTCCCCACTTTCTCTTCCGGTTCTGCATCTCTTCTCTCACTCGCCGACGCACTCAACGTCTTCCAGGTGCATAAAGTTCTCTGATTTGATGAAAGTTTTCTGTTTGATGTAGACCCATGTCGTAAAATTGGCAGCTTTAAAACAGTAGGTTCAGTTTGTGGCTTTTTGTTGGTAAAAGTTTGTGGCTTTCAGGTTCAGTTTCAATCCAGGCTGCTTCCGATATGTTCTAATTGTGTCCTAATGCTTCACCAATGAGTGTCAATTTTGAATTTAGGGCTCGAAACAGTAGGAGTATGTTCCTGCGATAGAGCATTGATTCTTTGCAAAGTTTGTGGCTTTCAGGTTCGTTGAAGTGCCTCCACTTGAATATTTAGAGTATGATATTCCAGCTGTGGATTTTGAATATAGGGCTTGAAATTGTCTGTGATAAAGTTGTTGAAGGTAACACTCTCTGTCTATGATTGACTTTAATGAGTATGATTTTGAATTTAGGGCTTGAAACTGTCTGAGTAAATTAGGATTGAGTAGCAGTGGCGAGTCTTCCTTAGTTTGCAGGATGTCTGAGAATGTATGTTGACAAGTTGTTAGCTAGATTCTTATGACAAGTTTTACTCTTTGAATGCAACGAAGTTCTAACTCGTTTGTTTCGTTCTCTGAATACAACAAGTAACTCATAGATAAAGCTGTTGCTTCTGTATGTGTGCAGCGCTTTTGTTTAGGAGTTTCGGGAATCTGCTTGGGCATGGAAGCTCTGAAATGGTAGTTTGTCATGAAGTTCGAGTTCTTGCTGAAATGGTAGTCATTCACTTTTAATGAGAAATCTTGATTTGTTTCATTTCATATCTCTGAGTTTTGAGTTCTGTGAGCATGCATGATTTGTTCACAATGGAAATGCAGGAGAACATTGAGAATTTTGGCAGCAGACAACAACATGAAGACAACAACATAATTAGCGTCGAGAGTAGAGATGTTCGTTAGTCAAGTCACTTTATGATGTTTACTTCTTCGTTGAACTGAATTATATGTATCACTGAACAACTTAATATCCACCAACTTAAGAGAAAGAACAAACTATACAAGAAGAGACTACAATAGAGTTTTCAGACTACAATAGACTAGAATAGAACAAACTGCACAAGAAGAGACTACAATAGAACAAACTACACAAGAAGAGACTCCATCTTTTCAAGCAGCCAGATCAGTAAGTACGTGTGTTCTGAATGTTGCCAAGGGGTCAAGATGTTGAAACCATCAGCAGCAGTTCATACAGCAAGATCAGGAACTCCTGGAACTCCTTTTGTTTCACATTACAAAAACAAATTAATCATATGAAAAAGAATAACAATACTGAAATATTGGAAAAATTTAACTTCACTAACCTCTAGGTCCATCAGCTCCTCCGTCAGCATTGTCAATCTCATGCAGTTGAATCTTGGAGGTCTTAAAGAGGCATATTAGAAGGCAGATTCCGTAGTATACAATCCATGCCAATTTGATGCCTTTTCTCCTAACGACTCAATGATTTTCGCTCTAGGAAATCTAACCCACAACACAGTGGAAACAGCTATCATCTAACCCAAAGAAATCACCAGACACAAGTAGCGTAGTCACTGAGACTAAACTCAAACAAAGTGAGACTAAAAAACCTATTGCATACAAGTCCGTTTGGTGTTTCTTCTCAATATCCGCAGATGAGGAAACAAAGTCCTTCATAAGCCACACAAATCCCATAATCTTAACCAACGTATGAAGAGCCCTAAAATCACTAATCCTGTTTTTCTTTATCTGCTTAATTTTGTTGTATATTGCCAACTTATGAAGCATTAATACCCCCACTAAAGTAGCTACTCCTAAAGCTGAAAGTACTATCTTCATAAATCCAGTAATATAATGCTCCATTTTAATTCCACAGAAAACTGCAAATATGTAACCAACAAAAGCTTGGATACAAAAAACAATTGGCCAGTTGTAGATACGACCTACTGTAGTTGCAATGAACTGCAATGTGGACTCGATCCTTTCCATAATCGATCGGATGTTCTTAGGAGTCCCTTTGATGGTTTCGACAACCAAGACAACCATTGCTGCAAGAAACCAGTAGATCAACGTTGATTCAAGGATGTTGTTCAATCCTTGTGCAAAACCAGTATACCACTCGAACATCATTGCTGCTACCACAGAGAGAGATGGTTCGGTGAAAAAGAGAGAGTGAGAAAGAGTTCAGTGAGAAAGAGTTACGATCGAGAGAGGAAAAATGTTTCTTGGAAGTAAGAGGTTTGATCAAGAGAGAGAGGTCATAAAGTAAGAGATTTTTTGGAAGAATCTCAGATCGATCAAAAAGAAGTTTCTATTAGTAGCAATGGTCAGAAGTGTAGGACTGCATGAAGAAAAACCTAGTAATAGTAATGGGAAAGAATCATTATTTTCGAAGTTTGACTTGAGTTGATTTTTTCTTTAAAAGTTTGTATATTAAAGTTAAACAGTTATCATCATACAGAAATTCAGAAAAGAAATTGGTTCATTTTTAAGAGAACTACATAAAAAGACACATATATGCAGCAGCTTTAATATCACAAAACAAATACATATATATACACAAATACGTATACGTAACAAAGAGCATACACACTTTTACACAACCATTACACAAAAAATAGTATCTCTCACTGAAAGATTAGAAAAGAAAACTAATTTTTATTTTCTAATTCAGTGTAACCCCTAAAGAATAAGAGATTTATTTTTATTTTCGTCTCTGCACCATATCTCCTAGAAACATTTACATAATAAGGCAATTTTTTAACTCTTCTTACACAAAAGAGCATTTATCTCAACTTAGGTACTTTTTTGATGTAAAAAGTCTATATTATCTTTTTTTTCTTTTTTCCTCTTATTCACATTTTTTTTCTTTTTCTCTTTTTCTCTTCCTTCTTCTCTTTTTCTCTTCCTTCTTCGCCTCTTCTCTTTATCTCTTCCATCTTAGTCTACTCTTTTTCTCTGTACTCTTTTTCTCCTTCTTCTCTTTTTCTCTTTCTTCTATTTTCCTTCTTCTCTGTTTGTCTTCTTTCTTCCTTCTTCGCATTTTCTCTTTTTCTCTTCCTTCTTTTTCTCTTCTCTTTGTCTCTTTACTCTTTTTCTCCTTCTTCTCTTTTTCTCTTTCTTCTATTTTCCTTCTTCTCTGTTTGAATTATAGTGTTAATTGGTCCATGCATATATGGACGTAGATACTATATATGACCATCCACGAACTATCATCCATAGATATATTTTGAATGATTAAATCGATTGCATCCACGAAATTTCATCCATGGAATGGTATACATTTGAATTCAAAGGTTGGCCATCCACGAACTATCATTCATATATATATTTTGAATGATTAAATCGATTACATCCACGAAATTTCATCCATGGAAGGGTATACATTTGAATTCAAAGATTTAGTGTTCGCGTGGATATATGTATATGGACGTGTATACAAGATAGTCCATTTGAAGTATACCTTATATGTTCATTCATAGTGAATAGAAACTGAAACTAAAGTCCGATAAGGAGTCAATTAAACACTCACACAATATCATCCATGTGTGTTTAATGTTTATATCATGGATACCATATATGGCCATCCACAAATTGTCATCTATGGTTGGATGTATTTGTGTGACTAAATCGATTGTATCCATGATCATCCATGGAAGATTTATCGTAAATGAACCTCCATCCACGAATATTGTCTTTCACGAGTTTGATGCAAAGCTTTAGACTCTAATTATTTCCATCGTGTCTGCTCATTTATTTTTTTATTGGTGTAGAAGAATAAGGTTTCTTATTTTTTATTGTAGAAAAATAAATATCTTAATTGAAGAATAATAAATTGTAATATCTAAATAATGTTAAGGGTATAACAGAGAAAACACATATAAAGAAATAAAGGAAAATGGAAGGAAAGTACCCTAATTGCACAAAATGCTCTTTATTGTAATTAGATTTTGAAAAAATACTCTTGTTTATAATATTCTCTATCTCCTAACTGCGGCAATGAACAAAACCAAAGAAAAAGAGAAAGTCAAGCAAGAGGAAGAAAACTAAGAATCAACAATCTGAACAGGGAACTTGCATTGTCCCTGGGATCTATTCTGTGTGGTAATGGTGGCCAAACCTTGGAAGATACAAGCCTCCTCGTCCTGGTTCTTCACCTGAAAGTACATGTTAAACGCATACGAAGCGTTCCCATTCGCATCAAGACCATTGCAAGGCGATCCGTAGCCAAGAGCCGTGCAATCGGAGTAAGTGCAGGCGAAATCTATGTTTTTAGCTTTTGGATTAAGACTACACCACCCCACTTGTTTGGTAGATACGTCACGTTCTGCCTTCTGCGGACTGGCCAACATCTTGTTCTGTCCTTGACCCGAGAGATCAATAGGAAACTTTAGGTTGCCCGTCGAATTTGAATAGTCCCCAATGGTGCTCAAAGTCTCCAGGTGCTATACTTTTGGCATCCTCAATGTAGGTAGGTCTCAATGGTGTGCCTTTGTTTGTTCCAAGCCTCGGTAAAAGCCCGTTGTAGAATCTGTAAGCATCACCTGCGAGAGAGAAGAAAAAACCAGTTTTTCGAAATCAGAAACTAAAAAAGCGTACTGAGAAATGTTTATGGAGGATGATGATAGATCAACATACCGGTGTTTGCGTGTTTGTCACCCTCTGTTGGCCAGCCGACTTCTCCGACGATAATAGGCATATCTCCATGGCCAACAGCTTTCAAAGACGACACCTAGGTGTCGAAATTCGCGTCGAAGACGTTCGTGTAAGCGACGCCGTTGTCATCTACAGGCTGAGCTCCGTCGAAGAAGGCGTAGTTGAGTGGGAAGTCGTCGTTGCCGTAGAGACTCAGGAAAGGGTAGATGTTGAACGTGATGGGAGCGTTGTTCTTGCCAAGGAAGTCGACGATCTGAGTCATCTGAGCGATGATGTCGGGACGGAACCTTCCTGCGGATGGCACGGGGTTGCTCGCTGGCGAGTCGTAGACGTCGGCGTTTAAAGAGACCGTTGCTTGACGGAGTTTCCTAGCCCGGCTTCGTTTTATGCGTTTTGGATGTTTTGAAGTGCAGGGAACGTGAGGTTTATGAATGATCCGTTGTATGATTTGAGGAATGGCTCATTCCCAACAGCCATAAACCTGAGACACATTCACCAAGAGATTAGCTCTAACATGTTGTTGCAATATTCACTTTTCTCCAGAGATTTGATTTCACAGATAGACGACGACACATTCATATATAAACATAACTCGACGTGTTTTACAACTGAATTTTCCAAGGAACATATATATAAGCTTTTCTGGACTAAACAGTTTTATGAGGTTTGAGCAAACAAATATAATTATCCTAATATCATTACAACATTAGAACCAATCTGTAACACATCAGCAAAGAGATTAGCTGAACATGTTTTGCATTTGACAGTGTTGTTACAAGATTTACATTTTCCTGAGATTTGATTTCACAGTTCCACAACACATTCATATATAAGCATGTTTTGCAATTGAAAATTTCCAAGTAACTTGCTATAAGCTTTATTTTAAAACTACACAGTCAGTGATTTATGAGGTTTGAGAAAACCTGTAACAATCACATTGAGAGATTAGCTCAACATGTTTTTGCATTTTGGCATTTGACAGTGTTGTTACAAAATTTTACTTCTTTTCAGAGATTAGACACAACACATTCATATATAAACATAACTCAACATGTTTTACAATTGAAAATTTCCAAGGAACTAGTCATAAGCTTTTCTGACCTAAACAGTCGAGGGTTTATGAGGTTTGAGCAAAGAAATTTACCACATTAGAACCAATTTGTAACACATCAGCAAAAAGATTAGCTGAACATGTTCAGTGCGTTTCAGAGATTGATTTCAAAGTTAGACAACACATTCATATATAAGCATGTTTTGCAATTGAAAATTTCCAAGGAACTTGTCATAAGCCTCTTTTGAACTAAAGAGTCAAGGGTTTATGAGGTTTGAGCAACCATATATACAACATTAGAACCAATCTGTAACAATCACATTGAGAGAGAAGAGGAAGAAAGAGAAAAACTAACGTGATATTGACACCGCCACTGAAGTTGTAACGAGTGACATTCTTGCGAACCCAGTCCTTGGCTCGGTCGTTCGTAGCTTCCCATGACCTTAAGCTGATCATTGGGAATAGCGACCATCACTTCGAGACCCGAGCGCCTATGGTGGTCTCGTCCGCGTCGAAAAGCTTAACCTTGTTGATGTTATTGTCCTTTAGCATCTTAACCACTGTCTTTGGTGGCAGCTTGTGTGTTGCCATTGTTCCCCAGTTCACACCTAACCCATCAACCATCATAATACCCAGAGAAGCTGTGAGGATTGTGACTCCCAAGACGAAGAGGGCCAACAGATTTGCCATCCTGAGAAAAAAAAAAGGAAAAGGGTTACAAGGGACTTACCCAAATTCAAGCGTGAAATAACAAAAACACAAGTATAACCAAAACACTATATATATTTTAAGTTGCTAAGACCAATAACAAGGATAGAAAAGCAACGCTGATTAGTGATCAAAACATGGTTTTGCTTTCATCAAAGTGTGAGTAGCAACAATCTTACTATGTTGTGGAAGTTCCCTGATTCTGTTAACCTGCAATTGAACGTACTTCTTCTTCACAAATGGAGAACGCACTTCTTCACTGAACTGAGAACACATTACACATGCAGAAGTTAGTAGATAAGCGTCACGACATGAACAGACACAAAAGATTTGTAGTAAAAACCAATAATTACCTGAGATATGTGCTTGGCTGCTATGACCCTGCCTTAACAACCTAAGAAAAATACAAATGTGATGAGATATATATACGAAATTTTGAAGAAATGAGACAATTTTCTTATATGTTATTGCAAGCAAGACAGAGGACAAAGCAGAAAATCAAACAACAATCCACCAAATGGTAAATCTTAGCACAAGAACTAAAGATGAATAAAGCAAAAGCCAAAAACATCAGAAACAAAAAAAAAACTGAAAATTTCATCAAGATAGTAGATAAGCGTCACGATATGAACAGGCACAAAAGATTAGTAGTAAACACCAATAATTACCTGAGATATGTGCTTGGCTGCTAGGACCCTGCCTTAACAACCTAAGAAACATAAAAATGTGATGATATATATATATATATATACGAAATTTAGAGGAAATGAGACAATTTTCTTAAATGTTATTGGAAGCAGAAAATCTACTTGTTCTGAGAGGGTGTGGAGATTCTTGTAGGTGGTTGCTTGTAAAAGCTGTGGACACTTATCTGTTAAAACCAAACAACAGTTCACCAAATGAGGTTAATCTTAGCACAAGAACTAAAGATGAATAAAGCTGAAACATCAGAAAAAAAATGAAATTTTCATCAAAAAAATCACTTGAAATCAGCAGAGTAACACAAACAGACAGAACAGCAGAGTAAAATTCCTAAATCGAACACATCAAAGGCGAAATATATCCAAAACGCTAAAAACCAAACCCTGACTAGAACATTCGCAAACCCCTCTACTTAAACCCAGAAATCGAAAAATCTCTCACCATTTTTATCTAAATCAAGCGGAAATGCAATTCAATCCGAGCATTAACATCAGAATATTCAAAGCTTTTTCACACGAGAAAATCTATTTGATAACCCAGAAAACAGAAAGGAGAATAACTCGGGACCTGTTAGAGAGACGAGGATGTTATGTTGGCGAGCCAGAGTCGTGGAGACAGGAGACGATACCCTTTTTTCAGTAAAACATTAATTATAAAATAACAAAGGTAAAATATCTGGAAAGTAAAGGATGAAAAGCATAAACTTTTTATTATTTTTTTGGTTAAAGATAATAAAATTAATTAACATTATATTTACATGACAAATAGGTTTTTCTGAATCTTATATGACAAATCTTATAAGTTTATTGTTTTTGAGTGATTGTTCTAAGTTTGTAAGACAATTTCTTTCTTTGCTTAATATACGTTTGTATTTGCTTTTATTCTTTCTTTAATCTTTATTTTAACTATGATTAACATCTTTTTTCTTTGTGATTTGGTGTTAAACATGACTATTAGTGAGTAGTTTGCTTAGAATTCTTAGATGTAGTAGATTATGAGGATTTAGAAGCTTATCTAAGGTTTGTTAGTGCTTAATAACATTGATTCCTCTCTATTAATCTGTTCTTAAGCTAGATTTGTCTTGATCTCATGAATCTAGAATTAGGCTTTCTCTTATGCCCACCAAGTGTTTGATGAAATATTGATCTTGTTTAATAGATGATTTACTGGCATTAGCTCAAGAGATTGACTGTTTGAAGAGTATTTTGACATTATTAGAGTTGGTTTATTATGCTTGTTAAATGTTTTAGTACTAATGGAATTAGTTCTTATTAAGATGTTTAGCAAAGTGCTTTTTGTCAAGGGATTAAATTTAGCTTGCTTGTTTGTGAACTCTATATCTAGGAATCAGCATTGGTAGCTTGTTTGCTTGATCTATGATGTTTGTAACAGCCTTATTTAGCTTTTAAACTCCCCCAAAATCAATAACCACATCTAGGGACTTGTTTTCTCTTTACTGAATTTCGAATTTGCTATTTGCTCTACTTATTTGCTCTGTTTTGCTTCTTTGATCATTGCTAAACTATCTCTTCTTTAGTTCTCTTTGGTATATGATCATTTTAGGTTGTTAGTTCAGTTGCTTAAACAACAAAAACCTCTATGTTTCACTTGACTTAAAGTTATCTACTTGCAACTCTTCTGTTATTCAACTAAACCCCATTGGATTGATAAAAAAACCAAATACTACAATTGATTAGTACAATGGGTGATTGACATAAGGGCAAAACTCTTGTATCACTCTCTCGGGCTCGTGGGCTCCAACCCTGTCCGATGGTTGGTGCGTTGGCCAGAAGGCTTGAAAGTCATGATATACTGACCTGACACAGAGGTTTTTAGGTCTCAGTCAATCGCCCCTCTATGTTAATCAATTGTAGTATATCAAGGGTTTTATGTCAATCCAAATGGGTTTGTTGAAAGTAGAAGAGTTGTGAGCAGATATCTATAAGTCAAGCAAAGCAAAGAAGAGTTTTTGTAGCCTAAGCAACTTATCTAACAACCTAGAATGATCAATCACCAAAGATAATTCAAAAGAAGACAGTTTAGCAATGATCAAGAAGTAAAACAGAGCAAAATAAACAGAGTACTAAGCAATTTCGAAATTCAATAAAAGAGAAAGCAAGTTCCTAGATGTGGTTATTGATTTTGGGGAATCTAGAGACTAACTAAGGTTGTTTCAAACAGCATTGATCAAGCAAACAAGCTAGCAATGGTGGTTCCTAGGCATAGAGTTCACAATCAAGCAAGCGAAGTCCAATCTCTTGTAAAATAGCCCTTTACTAAACATCTTAGCAAGATCTAACTCTCATTAGTGCTAAAACATCTAGCAAGCAACAGCAACCAACTCTATTCATGTCAAAATGCTCCTCAAACAGTCGATCTCTTGAGCTAAGGCCAGCAAATCCTCTATTAAACAAGATCAGCATTTCATCAAACACTTGGTGGGCATAAGAGAAAGCCTAAGTTCTAGATAAGTGTGATCAAGACAAATCTAGTTTATAAACAGATTAATAGAGAGGATTCCAAGAAATTAAATATTAAACAAACCTTAATCAATCCCTAAATCCCCTTAATCTACCATATCTAAGAACCCTAAGCAAACTACTCATTAATACTTACGTTTAACATCAAATCATAAAGGAAAAAGATGTTAATCATGATTAGAAGAGAGATTAGAGAGAAATTAATGGCAAATACAAACTTATCTTAAATAAAGCAAGAAAATTGTCTTACAAACCCAAAAAATAAACTCAAGAACAGTGTTATGAGGTTACTTGTCGAAAATCCCAGAAAATGGTATTTATACAAAAGAGAAGGAAACCCTAAAGTAATGGCAAATATGTAAATAAAACAGACTCGAACTGGGTTCCTACCGGTCAGTTGTGATAATCAAATCACTTCTTTTAAGCCTCTCTATGTAACACTATTTAAACCACATATTAGATAATCAAATCAATTCTTTTAAGCCTCTCTATGTATACATTCACACTCTTAAAATGGAGATGATACATTTTTTTTGTGGTAGACTTAATATGCAAAGTGTATTTTAGTATGATTTTTAAGATCAATCAAAATTGTCAAAACTATACTCTCGTTCCACCACAGTTTTAATTAGTTTGTTTTATGTTTAAATTTAGCAAACATCATTTTTGTTGTGCCAAAAGTTTAGAAAACATCTTAAATAGATTATTTACTAAATAAAATGATGTTTGTTCTCACAAACTATTTATAAATACTACATGTTATTGTTGTTCTTACTCTAACAAATATCTTAAATCCAAAATATGAATATTCTGATTCCTTTTATGTTGATTGCTGCCATGTGCTTTGGCTTAAATGAAGCTCTTCCTTGCGAGCTAAATCAAGTGGTATTTCAAAATCAACTTGATCGTAATAGTATTTTCGAGATTAACTGCCGTGGATTCTACGGCAGTGGTTTAAAACAATCAAAGTTTCACAGATTAAAGTTTAATGAAGTATATACTATTGAATTTGAAGATAATGACTGGCCAGCTAACACACATTGGAATTGTGATATTAATCACGGGCCTAATGGTAAGTTTTTCTTTCATAAACTTGAAGCATATCATGTAAAAGGTAAGCGATGTAAACAAATACGTATGTGGGTTGCCAGAACTAATGGAATTTGGTTTAAAAGAGAACATGGGAAACCGCTAGGATGGGTACTTAAATGGCAGGAAAAGTAATGTATTTTTATTTTGTTTTGTGTTTTATAAATTAAACTCTAAGAGCTATGTAATAATATGGTGTTAATATATATTATGAAACAAACCCACGCGTCAATGCGCGGACATTTAAAATCTTTACTAAAATATATAATTGTATAATTATAGTTTGATTTTTTTTAAATATTATAAAAAATAATTTTAAAGTCGTTATTTTATTGTATATTGTGATTACATTTAATTAATCTGACAATTATAAATTAGAATAATAAAATATAAAATAAGGTTAAATTATTTATGATGAATATAAATCATCAGTGACATAATACTATTAAAAATGTATAACTAAAATTATATAAACAATATGTATAATTCAATTTTTGCATATTGTATTAAGAACTGATTAAATTATCATTAATTATCTTTTTTTCTTTTTCTTTACGCTCTTTTTGGTATTATTGTCTTTTGTTCCCCATCAGCAAGGTTGTCGTCTTTTTTTTCTACGTTTTTGTTTTTAATGACTATTTTTGTCTTTTCTTGTATTGTTAGAGCAGAATTATGTTGGCAGTTTGAATCTTCAATTTTATTTTTTTCTTCCTTTGGTTGCTTCAATGCAATATTATTTTCTTTTATATCTTCTTGATGTAGAATACTTTTTATTGTCAAAAATTGCTGTAATAAATTATTAAAATTTATTCTTATATCCAATATTATATTAGTTACATTTGTTTATACCTTTTTATATTTATGATATTACCAGAGACACCAGTTACCGTTAATCCAGCTGAAGTCGATTTGAAATTAAATGATGTAACTTTCAAATCAAATTTGAAATCTTTTTCCAAAATTTTTTTCTGATATAAATGAAATAATTGATTTATCTGATGTGTCATTGTACATTATTTCCCGCAATTTTTATTATAATTTTTAACTCAAATTATTGTATTTATTGAATAATTATTTGAGTATTGATAATACAAATATCATAATTACATAATAAGTAACCAAATCTGTAACTGATATGTTTAACATTGTTACATCTTTATTGAAAGTTGTCAATAAAGTTATTTCCGTATCATCTTATTTGTTACCCTTATGGCATTCTTCATCTCCTCTAGGTAATCCATGAGCAACACATGATTCTTGAAATCTTTTATATTCTTTTCCATTTATAGTTAACATATCTTCAAAACTTGTAGGTCGTTTTAGGTGATTAATTAGAATTCTAAGATAATATAGTTCACCAGACGAAGGATGAACATTATACAATCTTCCAATTGATTGACCCTTTTTTCTTTTTGTCCATGTGTGATCTGATTTATTCCAAACACACCTTGATGGAAATTGAACATATGATAACATCTTTAAATAAGCCATAAACATACTTGATCTGCTTTCATAATTAGTAGCAACACTATTTAAATCACATATTAGATAATCAAATCAATTCTTTTAAGCCTCTCTATGTATACATTCACACTCTTAAAATGGAGATGATACATTTTTTTGTGGTAGACTTAATATGCAAAGTGTATTTTAGTATGATTTTTAAGGTCAATCAAAATTGTCAAAACTATACTCTCACTCCACCACAATTTTAATTAGTTTGTTTTATGTTTAAATTTAGCAAACATCATTTTTGTTGTGCCAAAAGTTTAGAAAACATCTTAAATAGATTATTTACTAAATAAAATGATGTTTGTTCTCACAAACTGTTTATATATACTACAGATTATTGTTGTTCTTACTCTAACAAATATCTTAAATCCAAAATATGAATATTCTGATTCCTTTTATGTTGATTGCTGCCATGTGCTTTGGCTTAAATGAAGCTCTTCCTTGCGAGCTAAATCAAGTGGTATTTCAAAATCAACTTGAT